GTACCTCAGGCGGCAATGGCCGCCGTGCTGGCTCAGTCGCCCTGCTGCTGCTCCGCTTGCCGCTGCGCTAATGCTGCGCTGCCGCTGCTGCTCCTCGCTCGCTCCTGCGCTAAACTTAGCGCATCAAAACAGCGCTCTGGCGCTGACCATAACGCACCGGTAGAGTGCCGGTGGTTCGATCCTCTATGTGAGGCTGGACCGGTACTTTATACCGGTAGGGCAGAGGCTGGCCTCAATGCTGCGAGGCCTGGCCATGCCCTGAACCGTCCAGATGGACGGTTCAGCCCCAACCGGCGGGCGGCAGCCCCAAGAGCGCCGCCAGGCCCTGATGTGTCCCTCCGGCCCTAAGTCGGGTCCGGTAGGACCCGTGTGCGTCGAAGATGTAACACTCTCTCTCTCACACACACACACACACATGGCCTGTGGGCATGTGAGGACGGAAAACGAGAAAAATATTACGGTCTGAAATTCAAAAAGTGCACTTGTAGCATTTTTTCTCGTCCTTTTAAGTGGTACTAGTGGACCCGCAGCGGCGATGCCACAGCCCAGCAGAGGGGATGAGAGAAAACAATGAAGGAGAGGTGAATGGGGAAATGGAGGGGAAGAGGGTGGGAAAGAGGAAGCGAAGGATTGTGTGTATCCAAGTGAATGTCGCCGAAAAGAATGACGCAATGAGAAAGAGCAACTTCCAGATTGATTGATTGATTGATTGATCGATCGATCGATTGATCCAATTGATTGATCAATAATTTATTGATTGTCAATGATTGATTGATTGACTGTTGAACTTCCTTGGCGGCATGCAGCCAAGCTCACATATGGTATTGCACTAGCATGTTGATTTTTCAATTTATTTTTCATTGATTGATTGACTGATTGATTAACTGATTGATTCACTGATTGATTGATTGATTGATTGATTGATTGATTCAATTGATCGACTGGGGGAAGACGGGTCAGCGGACCGAAAAGGAAAAACACTGATCGCGACTATTCCCCTCACGCATTTAAGCACGTGGTTCCCCCTCTTATCTCTGATGCAATCCCGTGTTCAATTTCATTCAAGCAGCCAGGCAAGCATGCTATGAGAGTCCTCAAATCTCTGACGCAATCTCGTCTTCAGTTTCATTCAGGCAGCGAGTCAAGCATGCTATGTGTGTGTGTGTGTGTGTGTGTGTGTGTGTGTGTGTGTGTGTGTGTGTGTGTGTGTGTGTGTGTGTGTGTGTGTGTGTGNGAGAGAGAGAGAGAGAGAGAGAGAGAGAGAGAGAGAGAGAGAGAGAGAGAGAGAGAGAGAGGTTCAGCACTCTCCGAGAGAGACCAGTACCAGTACCACCCTCAATTTTGCAAGCAGTGGTACCGGTCGCATTCAGGACGGCAAAATTCAAATTTAGGCTCGTACATTTAGCGTCCGGTGTACTGGTGAGACAAATTCAAACCCTACTGTAATACCATGAAGTTCGGCATGAACACAACACAAATCTGCCCCCCAGAAGGTTCAACCCACTGGGAAAATTTGTGGTTAACTAGCAAGCATGTGTGAGAAATTCGAACTTAACACCCAACCTACATGGCTGAATTGCCTACATATGTAACTGTTGTAAAGTGTTCATGACTAAATCACAATAGATCAGATGAAGAGGATGATGTTATGGGCTACCCCTTTTTGAGTCCAAGACTTACTCATTTTGGCTTTAACCACTGGTCGAGAACGAAGCATGACAGTATAAACGCCAATGACAACACAGGCGACTGCGAACACGCATATCAAAACAATAAAAACGATAGCTACAGGCGGCAATGTGCTGCTTTTCTCTTGACATGGTTCTAGGCCTGGGTAAATGTTACCATCACCGCAAAGCGCACGGTTGTCATCATACCTGGAAAAATTGGAAAACCACAATACATAGGTGAATGTAAATGTCCTGAATCAAAAGGCTAGTTACTCAAAAAAAAACTGCAAATCACAGGATTTGAAAATGGAAAGCAAATTCATCAGAAAACACTTCCCAGAAGCAGCAATATGCAACTATGAATGCAATGCAACCCGGAAGTTTGTTTTAGGAAAACAAGTGGAGCTGACGCGGCACAGGAGGGGCAGGAGGAAAGAAGAGGGAGGTGGAGAAAAGGGGGGAGGGGGGGTCGAAGAGGCACAAGCCGAACCCAAGGGGAGGTGAAAGGCACGTGCAAGCAGCACAAAGATGCGAAGAGACACCACAGCAAAATTTATGAAATCAATGAAAATCATACAATTGCTGTTGCATGCGGATCGCTCCCTGTCTGTGCCAGGAAGCAGAAGAAAACATTATATCAGACAATGGAGAAGTGCCTGGCTGTTTTGTAGAACAAAGATGCAAAAGCGAGCGAAACATCATATCACACAATGAAGAAGCGTCTGCCGTGGTCTTCGCCGTTGTCATCTGTGTGTGTGTCTGTTTTAAATTTTCACCACAACTATTCCACCCAGACGAGGTAGATGAAAAATCGAAACAGCTTTACTTCTATTGTAGACAACAAAGGCCCTTGAGTTGACACAATCTAACAATGAGACAGTTTCACCTCTATAGCAAGCAACATGGAGTATAAAATGAGTGTTTAAATCCCTTTCCTAATTGTGTCCACTTTTGCTTTCTTTGGGGTACCCCTTTCATTGTTCTTGCAGCTCCCCTCTACTGTGCCTCTCATGTACAAGGGTCACCATGTTGATTGTGGTAGAGCGCAAGCTGCCCACTTGCACACTATGAAAGCAGGCATAGTAAATATTCCTGTTCATTTTTCCTCATATTTCCTCATATCTTCAGCCTATATTTTGTCTGTTCTCTTAATGATGCACATTCATATGCATTTACAAGTAGTAGACAGGAAGAGAGCGGCAGGAATGGGAGGTGGAATTCTGACAGGGTTCTAAATAGTCACTGCTGGAGCAGACTACTCTAGAATGGCATGCAAGGCCAGTCAGTGTTCGGGCTGCATAAGATTTTGAATTGAGGTGCAGTTGTCACCTACGGTAAGTAGCCACCTCGACAGACCGGACAGGACCGGTTCGGGTGTGGACTGTGGTAGCACCGCATCCAATTCTCGCAGTCACAGTTGCTGCATCGAATGGCACAGCGTAGGCAGATGTCACAAGCTACATGGCTCCTATATGCTAGGAACACTGAGGCACGCTGACTGCAATTGAACAGGCATTGACGTTCCAGCCCGTCTACAAATTGGACATGACATGTCAGGGTGCCGTACATGAGTGCAGTCTTGACTGTCATCATACATATGAACACAAAACCTCGCATGGGCTATCCCTTCATAATCCTCACGGCACAAGCATGCGAACCTGTGGCATACTGTGTAGCCACACGGGCCCTGCAGGGCCCGTCCCGGACATTCAGCCTAAAAGCCTAAAACTTAGGGCTTACAGGCCCCGTTCGTTTCAGCCTGGATGCTGAAAAAACGAGGGCCTGCAGGCCCTACCTCGTTTCAGCCTATTTCTGGGTCTTTTCAGACACAGAGTTTTCAGCCTGAAACGGAGGGCCATTTTCAGGCCCTCGTTGTTTCGACCTGCCCCTAGGACTCGGGCACGGAAACAGGGATGCGGAACAG